CCGGCCTTGCGAGGGGGGCCACACGCTACGCCCGTACAGATAGAAAAAGATGGAGATTAGTCCACTTGCTGTACTGCCTTTTCCTGGCGAGTAAGGGTATTGGCTCCTCAACGGAAGGGAGCGTCACAACATTTGTGTGGTGAGCCGCCATCCCTCGCTGCTGCTGCTGCCGCCACAGCGCTGGATGACAAGCCGCGTGTATCGCCAACACCGCGCAGCTTTAGACCACAGATTTTGCCATGTTATGGACATTGACCATAGAAAATATGCACTCCTCTACTTACGAACACTCGACTTACGAACTTCAGAGATACGAACAAACCTGTCCTTATGTCCAGTTTCCTGTTTGGACCGAGAGTAGTAAGTCCAACCGCCGCGCAATAATGGATGGCGGTGGTGGCATCTACATCTGCAGGAGATTATACAACTTTTAAAGCCATTCCCCCGTGTTTAATGTACATGCCATACAACATGTTTGGCATCGACAGGAGTAAACTTGGACTAACGAAAAGACCTCTGGAACCTAACTCGTTCATAAGTAGAGGAGTCTATGTACATTAAACACATACAGTGTATATCAAAGCAGAGTCATATTTAAAAAGCTTGAAATCTAAGTTTTAAGCCTGCTTCCACTCCCCATACTGCCCGGGGAAGTTATGGGTCTGCCTGTGAGTGTGAATAGAGATACCGTTTACAAATCTGGTATCACACAAAGGAACATTGGGCCGACCACAAAACGCACCCCCAACTTTTGTTTTAAAATACAGGAGGGGCATAATTGGCAGAGCAAGGTACTTTTGTCCAGAGTCTTCCACCGCTATCAGGGGTTACTTTATTTGTCTATTAAAGCCAACCAGGGAGGGAAGGGAGGGAGAGAGGGGAGGGGAGGGAAGGGAGGGAGGGAAGGGAGGGAGGGGAGGGAGAGAGGGGAGGAGGGGAGGGTGTTGTAAGATCGGCCCACCACGGTGGCTAGAGAATCAGCGGCACTTGAAACTCGAGCCGGTCCCCCCCCCTCCACCACCACCACCCGCCCTGGCCGGCGCGGGGTGAGCTCTGGTCAACCTTCCCGCGGACAGTCACGACGTGGGCAAGAGTTTGTACGGTCAACAAGTGGATGTATCATGATTCAAGAAAGCAGGGGTGGCAATATAACTTGAGTGCGCTTAGTGACTGCTAAGAGGCTGCAGCGAGTGAGCAACGTTCTATGGACGTTCGTTGGCAGAGCTTGAGAAACTGAGCAACTACTGGGTTACAAGGGCCTCGTTAACACCCGGGATGACAAACACGCGTCTTTAGGTGAGCGGCATATACTCATTCAAACATAGCACTCGAATGAAGGAATGATAATGGGACCGATATGCAGTCATCACCGCAGTAGCAGGTGCACTGCTGTGTAAATGAACTCGTCAATGTGCAACGTTTACAATGGAACATGCGAGTCGTGAATTCACCCTGCTAATGCACGCGCGTGTTAACATATTCGAAACCAAAATAGAGGATTTAAGTTACCCGCATTTCTGATGAGACCCAGAAGGCAGCAACCATGAGAGAGTTTGCGTGCTTAACAAATGCCGTTTAACATAAGTCTGTAAGGCCAATAGGCAGGTAAACATTTATTTTTTACGTACAGCTACAGACTCAAGGCCGCGACGCAATAGTGCCCCGGACTTGAAATCCAAAAATGACCAGTTAGATTCCATCTCCCTCCCCCGCCGCTGTCCACACAGCAGGACAAGCGAGTTCACCAGTGACTCGGTCGGCAGGTCACGTGGGGTGGGGTCAAGTGTGGGCACTCCCACCTCTTCCAAGATAGAAGAGTAGACCAAAGTACCCCTACAGGGGCTCCTCCAGAGCTCCCTCTCGTGGAGGCCTTCTGCCATGAGTGGCATGAGCAGGCAATTACAGGGCTGCACCTTTACCAACCTTTCACATGAATTTATTAAGTAAATTTACTACCCACAATTGTCCGCTACAGCGCTCCGTATCGGTACTGATGTACTGCACTAATGGTTTAAGAACAAGAATTACAGTTTGTGGTGCATTCACAAGAAGATGATGAAGCAATGGATTAACAGCGGTTCTGTAAGTTATATTATTTTTCTATTTGTGAAAAAATGGGGACAATTATTTTGAGGCAACGGGGAGTGTACATTGTGAATCTGAACAATGCCCGCATTGTGCAGGGTTTTGCGAAAATAAACAAAATAAATAAATAACGTGAGCCACATTTAGGCAGAACAAGTTTAACAATTACACGTCAGGCTTTAAAAAGCACCACGAATGAAAGCTGAACCACAGCTATGCCAACACTGGAGTCTCCATAGAAGGGTTATTGTTCGTGCAAAAGGCCGAATACGATTAAAATGCCTCGGATTTTTATTACATTGCAGTTTTGCGGGTTCAAAGCAACAATCCACATCCTGGGTGATGTCCTTGGAACGTTCAAGAAACGGAGAGTTCCAGTTGAAAGCTGTATCTGCATCAATGGCTACTCGTGCCCAAGTGACCACATCCCGAACATGTCTAGTTGAGCGGCGGCGAATTAAATCGCACTTTCGCTATACGAACCCGGCCACCTGAGTCCAATTCCCAGCCATGGCGATCGCCATTTGTGGCGCGTCACGTGTGAACCAGTCGCTGCTCCACCTTCATTAACCCACTCGAACCAACTTGGTGAGGTCTGGTCAAACAACCCCCATGACTGACGTGGCATGAGAACGCCTGAATCCAGAAAATGATTGATACAGGCAAATAACTTAACTTATGATAACAGGCAGTATTTAAATACATTAATGAGCTCGGGTTTTACAAACCAAAAACACGTATTGCACAAACTTTGATCAGCTTCGTGTCCCAGGCAATCTGACAAGTAGTTCAAGCTTCATTAATGCAACCTATCTCCTTTGTCACATTACTGCAATAACATTGTGTTAGAACTGGGACTAGCATCTCTGCAGTGATTGTATGGCAAGCTTAGCCACACATTTAAACAGTGGTGGTTGGTCTGTATGGGGCATTGGGGTATTATCCCAAACAAATACATATTTTTTTTATATATTAACAATAATTATCTTTCTGAATGCATGCATCTTGTTATTGTAAAAAAGTAGTAAACAGCATTTCAATCTTTTAAAAAAGCTAGTGGCTAAATTAAATCATCTGTGTCTCTGTGTTGTCTCTCTCTGCTTGTGTGTCTGTCTGCGTGTCTCCGTGTCTATGTTTTGTCTCTCTCTCAAATTTAGCAATCTTTGGAAGAACGCAATCAACCAGGTGGGGTGTTGACTGTTGTGTTGGCTAACTCTCTGTGTTGTATTGCATTATATTTCTAAGTTTACTAGGTTTGTTTTCTCACTCGTTTGTACCTGATGATGGTTACTTGTGTTGCAATCGAAACGTCGTATTCTATTATTATTTAATTTTATTTCTTTCTACGTGACTTTACCGAAAGAACCAAAGAGTAATTCCTGCAGTCACGAAAGCTTCGAATCTAGTTTGACATATGACGATCTATTAAAAACGCAAATGAAACATGGGCACTTGGTTCCACAGTCTCTGGTGAGATGCTAATGTCACCTCTAGTAAACAACAAGCTGCCGCCTGACGTTCCAGGTCCATTTTCATAGGGACAGCACTATACAAAATGGCCTCCTCTCCTTCCAGACTCGGGACAGCACGAGACACACAGCCTAACCCATTCTCGTTTGAATTAACCTATTGAATTAACGTACGTGTACATCATCAAAAAAACTAAAATAAAATAACTTTATCGCTCTGTCTTCAAGTCAGAAGATGTACCGAGGCTCTCACAAGGTCATGTGGGAGGGAGTGTAGCACAGTTTGGCACCAGCTATCATAAAAATGCATACGTGTCGCTACGGTTCTCTGCTGTGAGTACAATGTCTTACAAAACAACGGCGCTAAGCCTCTATAAATACAATTAATGCGAACGAAGTATGGGAAAGGGTTAAGTTACGTAACTACACAATACGAGCTACATATTTATTTTTTTAAATAATATTTTCCAGAAATAGCTGACAAGGACTTCTCAGTCATGAATTTGCAGGGCCCACTCCAGCCACGGCTTTTGTCCCTTGTTGCTCGTGTCGCCGCTGCGCGGGAGGTAAACACACTTCCGGACGCAAATGCAACCATAATGGTCCGCGACGGCCTTAAACAACCACAGGTCGGGCAGACAACGCGCATGATGCGTGGAGCTTGGAGTGTGGTGCGTGGAGTGTGTCCTGTACAGGTTGACCCATGGGGCCACATCCGGGAACAAAACACAACGTACAGTTTTACTCGAGTCCTTATTGGGACAGGCGCTCGCCACGATCAATGCGCTCGGCCCCTCTCAAACCTAAATGTTTGCCATGGACGTCACCGCACTGTAATAAAGCGCAAATATTTTTCTTTGTTCAAGGTCAGAAAAAACCCTGGAAGAGTCAGCAGGGCTCACAAAGTCCTAACGTGGCTACAACAAATAGATGAACCGAGGCCACGAGCACTGAATTGCAATCCGAATGCAAACAATGTCTGAAATGTGTTGAACATCGTGTTCTGATCTCTGCGAGAGATTGACTTCAGGACACATAATTGTTTTTCTCACGATCTCAAACTGCTGGTGTGATGTCAGCATTGACGAAGCTCAAGATAGGTTCGTAAACTCATCGCTGGCTCCAAAGATTGATTTAAGCCCGGGTCTATCCAGGTCGGGGACCTGGAAATATTTCTTCATACGGCACACCACATCCAGTATGCTTCTCACTATGGCAGTGGCTATTACTCGCTGTGTCACTCACTCCGGTCTACACAGTGATACAATTAAGCCACGATTGCCTTTTATCCCACCAACTGACAGCTCGATTTGAGCGTTTTTATGAATGGGAATGTCTGTCTGATGAGTTTTTCAGTATCTGCAGGAAGTGTTAGAATTGGTTTCTGGGCATATGTATAGAAGTTAATCTCTGTAAGTTTGGAAGTGTGCGTGTGCGCACTCTTACTTTTTCCCCAGGCCACTTGGAACTCGTTGATGTACTGCTCCATGACGTCCGGCTCGGCCTTCGACCTCGGCCCAATGTCGCAACGGCCGACGCATCGCACACGGATTGCTGCAGCGACGCACAAACACCATCATCAGCAACATCAACAACATCAGCGTCATTACCCGCGCCAAGCGTCGTGACACACGCCCTGTGATTCAGGACCTTGTGACCAATTTATTAGGCGATGCTGCCGAGTTTGCAGTGGTGCACAAGCACTATTAACAACAACACAACTCACATTAATCAATAACACTGCCTCTACAAAAGCGTAGGTTAGGTGACGTTTCAGACAATTACTCTTCTACACATCACAGGGCTGGTTAGTGGCTCGTGCAGGCATTGAATAATTGCATGCGTGAGACAACTACCAACATAGCAACAGCGGTGGAGATGTCATGCAGGAGGCAGTACAGAAAATAGACTGCTGATCTATCGGCATTTCTGAGGCCTACAAGTCTATATATATAATTGTACAGTACTGCACTATAATTCTGCTGCATTCATCTGTGCTTGCAGCATTCTGATGTATTTTATTTGCCAGTATTGTATACCAGGTACAAAGAATTCACAATTCATTTATTGGAATAGTAGTGACAATGGATATGGGATTTGGTTTGTGTTAAAATTATCCTCAGATTATTAACCATTATTTATGTTGCGTTCACAAGTCCTGTTATTCCGCAGGGCAAAACGCACATCAGCAGGACATGTCAGTTGCAGTTTTTGCACCTTCTTACTGTGGAGGAAGAGCAACAATGACATCAAATGTTCGTGCGAAACTGGGGAAGTTGTCCCTCCGCAACCGTGAAAAATACTTGGGGCTAATTCAGAGTGTGAGGACCCTGCAAGTGTTTTGATAGTTTCCAGTTTCAAGTGTGTTTGTCTAACCAGGTGAGAACTCAAGGAACCAGGAGAAGTCTCATTTAGCAAGACTGACCCAGGTCAACAAAATGACATAAAACAAAGAAAATCAGGTAGAGCAATGAAGCAAATATGAATCAGGGTAAGAACAACTGTGTATCCCGCACCTCCAAGAGCATTCAATTTTATCTGTTAAAGGTTTGATTCAGTGGTATTAATTAAAGGGTTTGTTCAGGGAAAGGGTTACTTTATGAAAATCGCTACAAGGCCCTGTGCGAACGGTACGCTATGAAATCAAGTTGCAGTTCACAATGTGGCCGTGTGGATTTTTGGTTATATCGTTGACAAGAATAAGAAACTACTCACTCATATGGATTAACATAATGCTTTTGAGTGGCGTTATGGTTTGGAGCGAGGGAGAAGCCAGATTGCTGAAGCTGTAATATATAATCGGTGGAAAACCTCTGATGTGTTACAGGCCACAAATAAATGGATAATACTAATATAACACAATACAAGACCATCCACGCCCCGCCAGTGGTTCCACGTGCACTGATACATCGCGAGGGTTGAACCCAAAGAGTTCACCGAGCCTTTGTGTGAGCCAGATGTGGGACGGTACGTGTCACATTGGAGACTCACAATGAAACACTCATTGCTGAACCAGTACAGGTTAATTAATTGTGAAAGTACTCTATTGTACTGTCATTAATACTGGCAAGTGTTTTAACTGGACCTCATCCATGCACGTTGCAGTATAGTCCTTCCTAATGTGAATGTTCGAGTAACATGCTAACGTTCAACTAACGTTGGCATGTGGTTTTAACCGTCGCACCAATAGTCTGTTCACTGGGGTGGAATCAACATGATGTTACTGTTGTGTGCATGTACATACATACACACACGAGTGTACAACAACAACAATCGCCATTCGCCACGAAGTGGCGGCGACATCACCACGGCGCTTGTGCCAGGCTATGTCCACATTAAGGCCAAGTGAAGTGTCGAATGCCCGCTGGCAGGAGGTCACGGGGCAGACCCACGTGCCATGGGTCGACCGACTGAGACGACTGGCCGATGCACCACCTGTGCCCCCTATTGAGTTAACTTGCTGTGTTTTAGCCGTCCGGCGCTCTGCTCGTTGTTGTGAGCGTCACTCCTCTGCCCTCCGTTGGTTGTTGGAGGGCGACTGCCTCCAACTGCCCAGCAGTGTCCTTCACGAACCTCCTCCACAGAGGCCGATCTTGACACCGCTGGTACCAGTCATCGACAAGTCCACTGAGCTCCACGTCCTCCTGTACCACATCACTCCATCTCTTCTCTAGCCCGTGCCGCACCCGTCTAGCCCCCTCGATCTGGCCGAACAAAAGCTGTTTAGGCATGCGGTGGCTGGGCATGCGGGCTACACGACCCAGCCACACGAGTGTGCATGTACATACACACACGAGTGTGCGTGCAGTTCTATCTGCGTAATGTTCTTGCGCAATGCATCTCGTGTCTAAACGCCGTGTATATTATGTAAGTAAACGTGAACACAAGTGTGGAATGTAACCACCCATACAAAGTGTACATATGAAAAAAAACGCTTCCATTAATCTCTTGCAGAACAATATTATTTTAAACTTCCAGAATAAACTACGATACAGGACTACAGCGGAATACAATCTTGTACTGCGTGCAAATGTGATGCTAAGTAAAACTATACTTGACAGTACACATACTGCATGTAGTACGCTACTGCAAGAATAATAATTATGAAATGAGATTTTATTGTGGCTAGTTGGCATACGCCCATGTGGCAAACCGGGTACTCCAGTTTCCTCCCCGAGGGAAAACCATCTTCTTCTTAAATATATATAAAAGGCAAGTTGTGTTTATGTGCGTCTGTTCAAAATGTTTAGCGTACTTCCCGACATGCAACAAACTTGAAATTTGCCATGTGGGTACTTTCTAGACTGTACGCCATGCAAATTTTATTTTTAAATACACTTGCTATTTTTGGGAAGAGGAGCTCAATAATGCCATTGATTTTTTGCACGGCAAGTGAGCTGTGACGTCACATCTGTCACGTGACCCGCGCATGTGGAAGCGTAACGTATTGTAGTGTAGTGGTTAGCGCTACGCTGCGCTACGATCCTGGCGACCCAAGTTCGATTCCCGCTCACGGCCAACACCGGTGACGATTATTTTAACCGCTCCTGGGCCTCCCCTAGGTCGACTCAGCCTCGAACGAGTAACTGCTGTGGTGTGTGTAGTAAAGCTCGTTTTAAATATGAAATACATTGCAATGGTCTCGGTGAAACTTTCTACGCCCGTGCAGACTGTGTTCATGGGCTATCTCACCGTTTAAGTAATCAATGACTGCTGCTTGAATTTCACTTCATCAGATAACACGCAAAAAGCGGGTTTGAAAAGAGATTCACCTTTGCAATTCCCCACGTCAGGGTTGCGATTTCGGCATGGAAAATGCGGAAGGAGGGTTCAATTTTTCCCGCATTTCTGCTAATGTCAACCGCAAACGGTGGAAAGACTACTCCTGTGACCGCGCGCTTTTAACAACACGTTAATGCGTTCTATTGGAAAGGATATATGCAAGGCCCAACATCACGCAGGGCTTTGAGCTACTGATTGCAATGAATATATGATTTCCGCATTTCCGCACAAGAACCACATACTTTATTCAAATGCAGAGCCGTGATTACGAGCAAATGTACTTTATTCAAAGGCAGAGCGTGACTACGAGCAAATGTACTTTCTCTTCTTCGCATTCTTCCAGCGCTTCATGTTGTCTTCGGCATCAAAGTTGCTGAGTTTTGGTCCGTCGCGGGCGCAAACCATAAGCGCGTTCAACTGCTTGCACGTGAGGAGCGACCGCTCCTCGGTCTTGATGTTGTTTTGCAGAGAGAAGGCCCTCTCGCAGTCGACAGACCCGTGCTCTCGTCGCAGCTGATCGAGAAGAACTTGGCCTCGCGCATCTCGTGCACGGTCTTCTCCAAGATGGACGTGCTGCAGATCTCCACCATGTCGACTGCGCTGTCGCGCGAGCAGTATGAGCCGTAGGTGCCGCTGGCAGTGGAGAAGGCCTGCTTGCCCGCATACGAGTTGATGCTGGTCTGCACGAGGCCGCAGATGTGCTCCATCATCGAGTAGGGCAGACTGTGCTTGGCAATGAAGTAGCCGCACCGCAGCGCGTGCGAATGCCAGAGCGTGTAGTCGGCGGCGCCCGACTCGCCGGCCGCCGCGCCCATGCTCTTCTGCTCCTGCTCGCCGCTGCGCTGGAAGGCCAACTCCAAGGCCGACTTCGCTCGGAGCGTCTCGGCGGCCTTGAGGTGGCCGATGCTGTCGCCGTGGTCGACGATGCGGTCGAGGGCAACAAAGGTATATCCTTTGTTGCCCTTGTGGAAGATGCACGACCTCGGCCCGGCGGCAGAGCACGTGGTGCAGAAGAAGGCGCTTTTCTCCTCGTCGTACATGAGCCACAGGCGGCCGAGGAACCAGCGCTCGAGGACGATAGGCTTGCTCTTGGTGGTGGGGGTGCTGCTCATTTTTGAATCTGTGTGTGATGTTATGAGCTATTATCGTTAGCAGTAAAGTGTATTTATTTGCAGGAGGTATAGAGTAGCTACGGCAGAGGCAAGTGGGTAGACGCGAGATATGTGCGCCAACCGCGCGAGTACGGCACCGGTATAGGCGGGAATCGAAGTCACGATTTGCGGAAGTCTTCCCAGGAATCACCGCAAATTGCGGAAATTTGTGCGGAAGAGGGTCACAGAAACTACCGCGAAATGCGGTCGAAAACAGCATGTTTGCGGAAATTGGTGCGCAAATCGCAACCCTGCCCCACGTGTGCTGTTCCCAAGGGCTTGGTGACGTCTTCGGCATCGTCTGCCATGCGTCACGCTGGGTGTGGCTTGTAGGGGTTTCCAGCTTTCGCAAGGTAGCCACCATTTAAATAGTGCGCAAGTTGACTACAGTACAAGATGGCAAGAGAAGGGATGGGGGGTCGGGTAGTGACTCAGGTGGAGGGAGCGAGGTGGAGGCTGCGATAGTGGAGGCATTTAGGACGTTAGGTGGTGCTGGTAGGGGTAGCGGAAGAGGAAGGGAAAAGGTGAGAGAAAAGAGATGGGACTTGAGGGCAGTGCAAAAAGATGCAAGCGAGGGAGAGAGGAGCGAAAGCGATATTTGGCGCATATAAGGAAATGAGAGGAGAGAGATAAGGGGGTCCATGCAAAGCTTTTAAAACTAAGGTGAGTCATTTAAAGAAGCAGCGGTGATAGATAGGAAGCCAGTGAAGTTGTAGGAGAGGGGAGCAATGGGTAGTGAATGGGAGGTTAAAGACGGCGGTGCATGCAGCCGAGTTTTGAATTTGTTGTAGAGGGGCAAGGGCATAGGCAGGGAGACCGACCAGGAGCGAGTTGCAATAATCCAGACGAGTGAAGGCGAGGGCGTGCACGAGAAGTTTGACAGCGGTGATGGTGATAAGGTTGAGAATTTTCCTGATATCAAAAAGATGGAAATGGCACGTGCGAGTGGTGTTCGCAATGTGGGAAGTGAAGGAAAATGAGGAATCAAACGTGACACGAAGAATTTGAACGGAAGCGATCAGAGTTAGACTGAGCAGAAGGAAAGATATGGAGGGGTTAGGAGGAGGGGAGCCGGAAGTGGGAAAGTAGAGCACGGTGGTTTTAGAAGGGTGAAGGGAACGGACATTGTGTCATCCATGTTTGGATGGCCATTAGGCAGGATGACATGTGTTCGGAAAGGTCGGCGTAAAATCCTTGAAAGGAAAAGAAGATTTTAGTGTCGTCGGCAAATGGGTGAGACGAGAGATTGAAATAAGAGAGGATGGGCTCGAGGGGGGATGTGTGGAGGGAGAACAGGAGAGGACCCAGTAGAGAACCCTGGTGGGTGCCAGCCGTGGCAGGGGAGGGAGAACCACGGTTAAAAGAGACAGAGGATGAACGGGAAATGAGGTAAGAGCGGAGCCAATGAAGTGGGATACCACAGATACCGAGGTTAGACAGAGTGGATAAGAAGATGGGGTGATCAAGGGTGTTAAAAGCCGCAGACAGGTCGAGTGTAATGAGGACAGATGAAAGGCCCGAGTGATGTGAGTTAGCCAAGTGGCTGTGCACATGGAGGGGAGCGGTTTCGGTGGAATGGAGCGGACGGAAACCAGACTGGTGGAGGGGACAGAGACAGTGAGAAGAGACGTAGGACTTGATGACCTAATTGTTGTCGATTAATCAACTTGGTGACCTAATCGTCCCAGCTGTACACATATTTCACAGTCTCCCTTTCAGTACAGTGCTGTTATGTAAGCAATTACAGTACAGTTAACCACATCATGGTACAGAACTGTTAAAATCTATTGCGATTGCAGCATTACTGTCGTGTACGGTGAAGTCCTCCATATGTAGCGAGTTCCACAAGTTAAGCAACATCCCAGTCAAGATTTCAAAATCCAATTAAAACATTTGGGGAATCATTTTGAATATATTTATAATACAGTTTTAGAAGCTATCACTTATTTATGGAATAAGTCGATGATCTGTCACGTACATGAAATAGGATGCATCACTACCTACCATACCAGTGTGGATGAAATAGTGGCAAATTCGGCTGGGTTCTCCAATACCACGGTAATTTATAACCTCTCCTTCATAAAGTTGAAAAAAATCCTATCTGGGCCTCTAATTGGATGATATACAATACACTTCCTAAGTAAAACGCAACTTCATGATTTTACTTATGATTATCCACGTTTAAAGTGTCCAGAATGTACATTCAAAATAATGTAACTGCCCACGAGTAATTATTGATGTACCGTTCTATAATACAGTACAGTAATGATATTTAATATTTCTGTTCGTAGTCAGCATATATCATTTCTATATGAAGATGTTTTTCCTTTCTTTCTGCTTCCCACGCTGAATGTTTGTACCATAAACTTGTATTCTTATATTTGGTACCTTAGGGCAGTACTGAAATGACATCTGGGTCTGAATGGCCCAAAAAAGCCAGAGAGGAAGGAACAGAAGAGCACCACAGAAACGACGATGGAAGATACATCCCAGCGGTCATTAGACCGTATCGGGTCAGGGAGGTCAGAGATGAAGAGACACGGAAGACAGCGAGAGCGGTACCCATCTCAGAGTAGCTGAGAGAAATGCCACTCGGATGATTCAGACGTAAAGTGAGGAAACCCACACAGCAAGGCTATGATCCGTGGAAGCACCAGAGGCAGAAACCGAGCGGCGTGCCTTGGTGTTTTTAAGTGACGAAGCAGGTTATGAAGGCCTGTGGAGTGGATGTGGATGGCCCAGGACAGGATTGAGTGCAAAGGAATAGGAAGCCAGACCCCCATGCGAGTGGGAAACATGGCAGCAGGTTTTCATCCCAGATCTTCCTCGCAAGAGATTTTGTCTCAATGAGCATTCATAAAAAAGCTCATTATGACAATTGCAGTATTATTTATTAACATTTATATAAATACCCTATTGATTTGTGGGCCTCTTCTCAACAGGTGATTCGCACATTGAGTGATGGTCCCATACCTTACAGAGATGAGTGTAAAACGATGTAAATGTTTGTTAACATTTGTGGGAAACGTGTAGAGGCTGTGAAATCAAATGTCCTTTTCTCTCTATCTCCATATAACAGTGTTGTGGTGGGTTATCTAGAGATGGACGACTATAGTGCTATACATTGATTCTATGTTGAATGGCAGTGGCATCAACAAACTATGCAGATATTTTGGGCACCAAACAACTAAGGAAGCCCGGATTCATACAAAGGATATGGGTGCACCAAGTATCGGCTGGAATGTTCATGAGCATACTTAGATATCGTGAGACCTCCTTTGCCAGTACCAAAATATGAGAATAGGTTTTCCCCTTTTTTCAGTCAAGAAAACAGGTGTTAGGATGTTAAAACACCAAACTTAAACCTTTTATAAGGAATCATGTCTGCATTAACCACAATTCTTGTGGTCAGAATGCAAACAAAAAACATACTCTGATAATATATGCATTGTCTTTGAAAGTGATTGGTCCACGAGACAGCTTTCTTTCGAGCCTAGTCTCAAACGGTGTTAGACCAGAGGACGCCAAAAGGCGTGCATCACAAAGACAATGCACTGTCAGAGTATTGAGAGCTCGGGGTGAGCACCTACATCATGGGACCTCCTTTTCCAGTACCTACATATGAAAATAGGTTTTCCCCTTTTTTTCTGGCAACAAAACAGCTGTGTTAAGATAATAATAGGGGTTTTCCCTTTTTTTCTGGCAACAAAACTGAAACCTTTTTACAAGAAATCATGTCTGCATTAACCACAATACTTGTGGTCCGAATGCAAACAAAAAACATACTCTGATAATATATGCGTTGTCCTTGAAACTGATTGGTCCACACCAGACAGCTTTCTTTTGAGCCTAGTCTCAAATGATGCGAGAGCAGAGGACGCCAAAAGGCGTACAGCTTAAAGACAAGCACGACCGGAGGTACCATGATGTAGGTGCTCACCCCGAGCCCTCATTACTCTGACAGTGCATTGTCTTTGTGATGCACGCCTTTTGGCGTCCTCTGGTCTAACACCGTTTGAGACTAGGCTCGAAAGAAAGCTGTCTCTGGTGTGGGCCAATAGTTTCAACGACAATGCATATATTAGCAGAGTATGTTTTTTGCATTCTGACCACAAGTATTGTGGTTAATGCAGACATTATTCCTTGTAAAAGGTTTCAGTTTGGTGTTTTAACATCTTAACACCTGTTTTGTTGCCAGATAAAAGGGGAAACCCTATTCTCATAATTAGATAATTAACGTAAAAGGCAATGAAGCTCTATTATCCACAGCATGTCCACAACGCCGCTTCTTTCACTTCACTGCATCATCACCACCATCACTTTGACTTCCCTGCGTCCCTTACCATCTCACGCCGTATATATCGCATCTCTGCCGTCACGTTAGTGGGAGGTGGTGCATTCAAAGGGGATGTGACCCCCCCCCCCCCTTCTGAAAGGTAAATCTGCTTCGGGGCCCCCCAAAGAGGCTACGAACAGCCCCCCCCCCCCCCCCCCCGTGGTCGGGGGCACCTGGCAACACCTGCGAGTTGCAGTTCCCTTTGTCTGCCACAAGGCTTTGGCAAAATGGCAGTGCGGAAATGAACACAAAGGGCTCAAAACATGACGCAAAATAACCCCCTTTAAATGCGCAACCTCGCGAAAGTCAGGAACCCGAGGCGACACCGACCACGATCATCCTTAGCAGGCGAGAAGCCTCGTGGGCCACGTGGACTCAGAGTTGTGGCGGCAGAGCGCCCAGGCAAGGCCTTCCTTCACCTGTGCCGCCTTACCTGTTGTTTACATTTCGCAGTCATTTAAGAAACGTAGTAACTTGTAACCACCACGTACGCACGAATACGGCTCTCTTCCACAACCGCCCTTTAAATGTCTAAACTATCGCGACGTTCAACAGCGTTGCGTGTACTGTATATACCGTGACAGCTGCTACACCACCACCACCACAAACAAAGCACAAGTCTCGTGTATCCCCCCTCCTTTGCGCCAGGTCACGGAATAAATCCGCAAAATCATTCATTCCACAATCACCCAGCACCCCCTACCCCTCTTGTCCTCTTACCCTTGAAGGGGACGGCAGCCGTGACGTGGACTTTAATAACTCCTTCCACGACGTCGCCCGGTCTGTACGACAATTTGTTGCCTTTGAAGAGCACTAAGAGATCCTCCATGGTAGCGAGCGCGCCGCGTGGGTGTGTGGACGTGTGCGATTGTTTCTGTCGAGGTTGCCTTCACCAATGTTAGACCCCCACCTCCGTTCTCTTAAAGGCACCAGGGGCTTTGCTGCTGCTGCGGGGGGGAGGCTATTTTAGGGGAGAGGCGTTGGAATTACACACCGTGTGTGTTTGTTGCAGGGCTGTGGTCGTTATGAGTCACATTTGTCAGGGTATATTTAGTTTTACACATAGTGTAGGCGACCCAGCCAGCAATCCTGGCCGTGGCATCTCGCTCAAACATTGGTGCGTGTGAATGTGTCTTTGCTCTCTCGTTGGGATGTGTTGGATTTGGCTGAGTTTCTGGCTTCTGTCCACACGGTTGAGCAATCATTTGTGGCCAGGTCGCTTCCTGAAAAGAGCGGCATAGCTCAGTGGGCATTACTTGGGAAAAATAAAACTTAGTTTGGTTAATAGCTGTCCCTTATGATTGTTCTGTGAACACGTGCATTGGGCTGGTGTGATTCAGACGAGGTAGAGTGGCATGATGGACACTCCTCTCGACATTCAGTTAAATATTTTCCTGCTGGTCACTACATCCATCATCTCCTGGCCAAACAACAACCAGGAGCTGCTGTCCGGGTCTGAACTAGGGAATGTTTTTCTCCGTCCTCACCCCCCTACTTCATCCGTCAGCCGAGCTGGAGGCGGTGAAGGGGGGAGATTAAACAATTATTATTTCCTGCGGCACATAACTTATATATTATACAACACTGCCTTAAATATAAATAAGGGCCTTACCTGATAAAATGTAAATGTATCTTAAAGGCAACAATATGGCCAATGGTATTTCATAGCACGTAAATAGTGAAACCAGAGAGATAGCGCCGATATTAAGAGTTGGAGAGCGCAATCAACACCATGGAACCTGATGAGGATTCAATGTAAAAACAAATGCTGATGGATAACCATGAACTATTCACTGCTGGATGAAGGCTTCTGCATCGTAGATTTGACTCACGGTCCTGAAATGCCGCAGTCGCACTTCTGGACATAAGTTGATCTCATCGCTCCATCTCTGCAGTGTGCGCGTTCCGGTCTCTAGCTCATCTCATACACTGGTCCATGATGTGCCCGAGCGAAAACCCCACTTTCATTGACAGTCAATATGATGTCTCTACATTGATTTTCTCATCCATTTGAGTTTCCCTCTTATGGCTGCCACGATATAATGTTTTCATGATACAATATCACATGGTACGACATCACGACTATCGCGATATCTGTTTCTCGTTACTTTGTCGTTGGTTTTGGCATTTTTATCAAACAATTGTTATAGCTTGCTTTCATTCCCGTGCAAATAATGATTAGAGCAGGACTCCAAACATCCGTGCTACAATAATCCCTGTACGCGTGGTTTGTGGCTTTCCTCGAAATTCGGGGAAGTCTCAGATTTCTGGATGAACAACAGAAGCTGGAACGTCCTCTAGTGATGTCACACACAATCTCGCCACCGCGGAGTGCCACCCTGGTGAGATGGTAACTCCCTCGTCTGGCATGCAGGAGGTCGTGGGTTCCATCCCAAGCCTGACACCTGCTTCATATTTGGAGTTTGCGTGTCTCTCTCCCCGTGGACGTGTGGTGTTTTTCTCCGGGTCCTCCGCTTTTCCCCTCCACGTTTAGAATCAACATCACGTGTTTATCTTCTTGGTTCTTTCGGTAAAGTCACGTAGAAGGGAAGTAACAAAATAATAAAAAATAAGAAAAAATAAAACATTTTTTTTATTATTTTGTTACTTCCCTTCTACGTGACTTTACCGAAAGAACCAAGAAGATGAATCCCTGCAGTCACGAAAGCTTTAAATCACGTGTTTAGATAATTTGGCTGCTTTACATTTCCACACGACGAGAAGCCACTTGGGTGAGCTATCATTTGTGACCAGGTCGCTTCTGAAAAAAGAGCTACGAGGCTCAGTGGACCTTATCTGGTAAAATAATAAAAATTGTAGTTGAGTCATCCGCGGCGCACCCACACCGAGCTGGTGCAAAGTAAAGCGACGTGAATCACGGGACGAACCTCCGCTGATGACGGGATCGACTCTATATGTCTCCCCGCCCCATATCACCCCGGGTTATTGGAGTCCTGCTGTACTTCAACGATCTTCAACCGCAGTTCACTCAGCATAAGCCTGACATAAGCATTTCTAATCTTTACAATCTACAATGCCCATTGCGCACATTGCTATGAGTTACACAATTGCTGGCGTCACATACTGTCATCGCCATGGTGCGCCTATTGCTACAAAAATATTTAACAAAGCGATAATTTATTGGAAAATAGCTATTCACTTAAAACCTTCATTGCTTAGTTTTGTTATGGCATACAAATCTTGTCAGTGAATAACATAAGAAAAGAAATGACCAAAAATAATTATTCCACACGTCCCACTTCTCCATGCTTCTTTGTGCACTTCTCAGATTGTATTCGATGTTGTTGATCAATGTCGATGATTCTGATACATTTGTCATCGCGGCTGAGATCAGCTACGTAGAATTGGACCAGAATGTGGCTCCGTAGAGCTTCCAGCGATGGGAGCGTGAGTTTAAATTCTGGGCAGTCAACTTCATCCCATTCATATCCAACCTAAGGTTGTGAAATTTAGTAATTACGAAATTAATAGCAGCCAAATGCAGTACTCTAAACGCACGTTTCTAAATGTGGAGCTAAAAACTGGAGGACCCAGAGAAAAAATAAAAATATACAGGCGTCAGGATTGGGATCTAACCCACAACCTCCTACATACCAGGCGAGGTAGTTAACGTCTCTCCACCGCTGTGCCCCTAATGAACGTGCATATGTTCTCCAATCAACGCCGCTCTCATTTCTCTGCTATGGGATTTTTTGGTCAATTATAGATACGAACGATTGCTGCCAATAGACCGGCTTGTGGGTATCCACCGTGTCCATGTGGGGTCTCAAACATCCGCGAAGTTCCCAGAGGCAGCCTTGAGACAACAGCAAAGCATCGGTGATTGTACTCGACTGATGAGTCCTATTATGAACAAAACCTCGTCTGCAGCTGTCTCTTTGTCGCGCCGCTTGCATTTCGGTTGGTCACGTACGTTTATTGATGGTGATATGAGCCACGACGAACATATTGCAGTTCTTCAGGAAATAGTGGTTGTGCGACATGTTTAAGGCGGAGAGCTCTTTGTTTTCCAGTCTGCGTTGTTTCTGTTGTAGGTTTCCCATCATTTTCCGATTATAATCATTCCTCTTTCTGTAATTCAATGCAAGCGTCTCCCCACGTGGCCTCTTTGCCCTCTCTTCAGCTCCGTTTGATGTCCTTTGTCAGGGCTCTTGGTTCAGATCCGTTGGCCACAGGAGGCAGTGGAAAGAAGTTGACTGCAGTCGTTTTTAGTGTATCACACACGCGTCTGATCTACTAAACTTGACGTCTTTGTGTGAATTCCTTGGTATACCACTTAGTGGGAACTTAACCAGAAGTATATAAACTGACCCCGTCATAGGAATGTAGACACTTGCGAGTTTTACCTCGGATTAAATACAATTCAGTTTGTTATTCACTTCCCAAGCGCCGATGGGTGAGGTGCATTGGTTTGCGCACTGCGCTATGAACGCAGCGACATGAGTTGGATTCCGGGCCGATACTAACATCAGTGTTCAAGTGAAAAAATCCTCGGCTTCTCCCTCCACGAACCCGCACTGTGACCAGCGTGGTTACAATGACAAAGATCCCCCGTGTAGGCTTAACAGGCTGTTGGGGCAAGTGCTGTTAGCGAGCAGCATCTATGAAGGCCGGCACGGCACAAGAGGGGGGTGGGTGGCCAGCACCACGTCGGCCGTCTTTGTCTCCCGAGTGACAATGTTTACACACCGCACCGGGTACTCATTTGAGGCTCAGTCGACCTAGGGGAGGCCCACGAACGGTTCAGATAATCGTCACTGGTGGTGGCCGTGAGCGGGAATCGAACCTGGATCACCGTGTCCGCGCTAAGCACCACACTACCGCTCCCCGCTGACGTATGGTGACACAACCAGCTTGACACACACTGCGTGGGGAGGCCTTCATCCAGCAGCGGATTGACAACGAACTAAAGCTACTGTGAGCTACTGCAGCAACCCACAAGCGTCACCCTCGTCAAACGCATTGATCGTCAACATGTGTCTACCAAGCCGTCTTCACGATAGCCATCAACCCTGCCTGTGATGATGCCTCTGGCCTGACTGGGTGCCATCCGTGGAGGAGGCCACTTTAAAGCACAAAGATGGGAAGTCCCGCGCCTTGCCACAATTACCACCCACGGCGCTTCTCCAGTTAATCGCCTTGCTCACTGCGTCACAACCACGTGGCCGCGTATGTTCATACCACTTGTATTACATATTAAAAGTAACTCAACGCATTCGTCAATAACATCGTGGCGTTATGAAAATATATAATAGGCGACGTTTCAGGTAATATCCCTTCTTCATAGGATATGCCGCTGAGCAGACTGGTTCTATGAAAAAGGACCATTGCCCAAAACGTCGCCGATTATATATTTGTGTATGAATGTAATCTTGATTTGAAGCTTTCGTGACTGCAGGAATCCATCCTCTTTGATTCTTTCGGTAAAGTCACGTTTTATTTCTACCTACATGACTTTACCGAAAGAACCAAAGAGTATGAATATAATGTCTACAGCGTTATGGACGAACGTTTTGGGTTTGTGGCGTTATTTGTGCACCCACGGGCAAACCAGCGGCAGCACCGCCGCTTGATTTGTTCAGCAGGCGAGGTAGGAACCGGACTGAGCGTTGCTGAGCAGAAACTTGGGTATAAACGTCGAATGAATAAATCAACTCCCGTCCATTACCTCCACGCAAACTTTGAGCCCCCTCCCGTTTCCCGTTGGCCTCATTCATTTACTGCTTTGAATAGATGCCCTCACCTGAAGGCCCTCTTTGTCATGGGGGAAAACCCCACTCCATTCATCCTCATTAGCATTTCTATGAGCTCCTTTCTCAAGCGCAAGCCATTTGTGTGCTTTGAGTGAGGTCCAATTACCGCAGCCTTGTG